GAGAAACTTTTTTTAATGCAGTAAGAAATGATTCCTCATGGAGAGGTCAGAACTTGTGCCTTGGGGACGATATTCTGCGTGGTTTATGACTACTTTGAATTACTTTGCAGATTGCTTATTTTCAATTATGCTGTGCCATTCTAATAAGACTTTACTACTGAGTAAAATAATTCGTCTGGATATCATTAAGCCTCACATTACTTTATCAGGCTGATCGAAGTGTACCAGAATTACTTATATAACTCGTCTCTGATATTTTTGTTCCAAAAGCAAACTGGATTATGTAACTATCTAGGACATTTTTAAGTAACTTGGAGGAATTATTGCCTTGTTGTTGACTATACAACTGTATCAAAGTTAATGTGTAGTAAGGATACATGCAGTCCAGATATTCTTAAGAATGGCTGTCAGAGTTTTATGTCACTGTGACTCATTCAGGCAAGTCAAGGGTCCTTAAGTTCTATCTACTGTTATAGTTCCCCTTTCAGTAGAAACATGACTCAGTAAAAACAAATAAAAAGGAGAATTTAAAGTAAACAAACTACATCAAATTTATTTATAATCCAGCCAGAGTTTATTGAGTTTCTGCTGTGTACCAAGCACTGTTCTGGGTACTCGAGATACAATTAGTAAACAAAACATTACAGCTCCTATTTTGACGGCACTTGCATCCTAACAGGAGATGGACAATGAGCAAGTACACAAGTAAATAAACAAGATAAATTTAAATGCTAAGTACTATGAATAACAAAAAAAGTAAATGATAAAATGGAGGATGATTGGAGATTGTGGACAGACTTCTTTAGACTGAGTGCTCAGGGAGGGCTCCTTAGAGGAGGTGATATTTGCACAGATACCCTGAGGATCTCAGCTGCCAGCCTGTTGTGGGAGCAGCTCTAGCTCTTTTCATGTCTCTGCCCTTCCTACCAGTCTGAATGTGTCTTCATCTATAAATCCTTGGCTATAAGACTTCTCATCAGCTAGTCTTCAGTTGGTTATTCAGGCCAATTATTTTATGCTGTATTTGAACTTCCAGTTTGGTCCTGGGAGGAGGTGAGTGTAACATCCATCTATTGCACCATCTTGGATCTCCTAATACTTGTAATTTTGACTTAGTGACTTTGAGATGTTTATTAGAGATGACAAGTAACAGTTGGATATTACAAGTGTGAATCTCATAGGAGGTATAATCCTGGGTATTATATGTTATAGATGTTATTTAAAGCCTTGAAAATAAGATCCCCAAAGGAGGCAATGTAGATAAGAGAAGAGAAAAGCACTAAGACAATTTGTTTTAGGATAGTTTCAGGGCATTTTGTAGATACATGCCTTAGCACATGAGTAGAGATGACTTGTATTTATATTGTAATCCATTTATGTCACAAATATTGTTGATAAAAATATCCATCATTCTATGGAGTTGACTAAATAACCAATAATAATGTAAGTGACAGTTACTGTAAATAACTATAGATTTATATTTATTGTCTATTAATTTATTCATCAATTTAAAATCAAGACTTGATGACAAAGACCATCTGGAAACAGTACTGATGAGGTGTCTTTAACACAGAATGTCATGTCCTCCCCCAAACTGTGGATATTTCAGTAATCTTCATATGTGTAGCTCTACATATGAGAGCCATATATATTTCATAGACTGTTGGACTGAGGTCCTCGGTAAGTTTTAGAATTTCACTAATTTTACTTATGAATGCCAAACTTTAGGAACCCTTAATCACTTTGCAGATTGCTTGTACTCTTGTTGCAGGTAAAAAATGAAAATCCTCATATGTCTATAAGAACTAAAGAAAGTGTTTGAATTTTTAGATCAGCTTAAGTCCATCAATGGCTCTCAGACCATGCTTGTATACCCATGATTCTAAATTATCTTTTCTAGTTCAGCAATTTAAATCTTTGCAAAATTGCTACTTTAGAGTGCAGGATTACATTAGAAGAGATATGAAGGAGAGAAAATGTATCTACAAAAAAAGGGACATTTTGCGTTTGACATTTGGTTTTGTCTTTCCTTTCTGATTGTAAATATCAGCTTTAGCAATTAAAGATCCTTGATTTAAGAGAGGAAAGAAAGAGGTAGCTGTTGCACGTGGCACCTGGTTATTTTGTCCTCAAAGTGTAAGAGGTGCTTTGAGGGATGTGAGAGCTCTACACCATAACATCTGAGAGCAGGGAGTCGGTGGTGGCACTAGTCCCCTGGGCACATGGACATCCCTGTATCCCAGAGTCAAGTCACCATTGTCAGTCTAGGCAAGGACAGTCTTATTCTGCATACTGAAGTCGATGTGACAGTGTGGTTGCGATTCAGAGGGGTTTATGTGAAGAAAAAATTCAGCCAGTATATGTAGAACAGCTGCAATTGGAGTGGATGTGGGGAATCATTTATTCATTGGACTGGCGCCATTTGGAATGGTAGTTTGGTGGGAGCTGCCTCAGAGTGAGGCAGATATGCAAAGCTGACTGTTTCTGTTGAGGGGTGCTGCGTCCCGCTGGGACCTCCCACTTCAGTCCACAAGGCATGGGCAGTGACTCTCCCCTGACTGGCCGCTTCTACCCTGCGCTCCAGCCCTGGGCTTCCAGCTGTCTCTCCCTATGTTGGAGCCCCTTTGTCCTTCTGACCATCTTTTCACATGGGGACCCTTTAAGATAACCCTGGCTAGTTCTATTTTTCAGGCTACTCATTTCATCTCTAGGAGCTGTGTACCTTTGTCCCACTGGGGGTGGAAGTGCAGCTTTGTCCTGAGGGATACAGCTTTATCCTGAGAAACTGTTGAAGGATTAATTATAAGCAGGGAGGTAAACAGTGATTCAGTTCACTTGTAGGAAGAGTACTAGTAACAGTGTGGCTGAATAAGGACAAGTGAGGCTGGAGACTGGGAGACCAACTAATCACTACTGCAAAGTCCTGGCAAGATCTAATGAGGTTCATTGACAATGGTGAGGAGGAGATGGATGCAAAAGGTATTGCTAGTTTAGATATGAAAGATTTAATGACTAGATGGCACCTCCATTTAGGCACCTCCTGAGGCACCTCCCAGGTTCTTTTGTGTTTTATGGGTTCATAATCAACTTAATCTCACAACACTGAAATGGTGGCATAAGAAAGTAGACAGGAAAGATGACCTACCAAGGCCATCTTTGGACAAATTTTTACTTTGATATGTATCAGCTTTCCTTCTCTTTTCTCAATTTGTAAACAATTCCCAAGGAACTGAATTCTATAAGGAACATTTTTGGTTATCATTTGTTTTATCCTTTCCTTTTTCAGGGATTCACCTTATATATTTGCTTTTGAGTACTTATGGTGTATACAGCATAAAGGAAACACATAAATGCCATTTAAATTCTTTAGGCTAATTTGAATTTTCTTTTGAAATAAACAGATTGTCTGCCAGACCTTATTCTTGTTTGTGTTGAAGTTTATCCCTGGCATAATCCTGGCAGTTTCCATTTTGAGTCCCACAGTTTGGTATTTATTTTAAGCAGCTGCTTATGAACAGTAGAATTTAGCAATGATCAGAATGGCATAAGGTGGGTTTCTGTTTGAGCTCAGGGTTGCTGGGCAGCTTTCCTTTGAATACTTTTCCTTTCATGCTTTTTCTCCTGTTTTGGCTGTGAGAATAAATCTAGGAAAACTGCTATTTGGCCTTTTAGCACATTGCCAGCTTTGGTGATTGCAAACTAACTGGTGTTGTACTAAACACCACTGAAATAAAATAAATGAGTCTGATTAAAGCTTGAAACTCCTCAGTGCTACAAATATAAAAACTCAACAGATGCCATTTGCTGAAACCAAGGCTTCTCTTGCAGATGGGTGAAGGTTAAACATAAATTGCACCATGTCTTTTTCTTTGGTTCGTTTGTTTTTAATATAGTATTTAAAACTCTGCTATTCATTTACAATAAACTTTTGGCATGTTTCATGACTGTTTTGGGTATGCAAAGATCTTTGAAATTATAGTCATACTATGTCTTATTATATGAATTTATTAAGCACGTAGAAACAAGTTTTTGTCAGAGTTTTAAAACTTTCTTTGGTGTTAATATTTCCAATATTGAAAATAGTAATGGAAAATAATCATCAGATAGTCACAATGAGTCATAATGTTCCTCTTTTAAATCTTTAATGTTGGGCTATGATAGAATAATATGTCAAATCTTCCATAGCTTTCATTCATTTAGTACTTAAATTTTCTTTACAATATTTTAGTTTCTCACATATTATCTCATCATTTAAATAACATACACAGAAGAGGATGTTTTTATTCTTCACTCAATGTAACAACTTATATACCATTTAATCCAATCACTATTACCCATATTTTACCCGTGTATAATGCACACCCACATTTTTGGCCCAAACTTTCAAGGGAAAAAATCTTTCATTTTAATTCAAATTTTTATTTTTTTATATTTAGATACTGTATTTTAAGACAGATTATTGTGTTCCAGGATATTATTTTGCATGCAAATATTATTATTGCTCTCTAGAGTTACACTTTTAACACATAAGCATAAATATAAGAATTATAAGCATGTGTATAGAGAATTAGTATTACCCATGTACAATGTACATCCTCATTTTTCCCTCAAAAATTTGGGCAAAAATATTGCACATTATACACAGCAAAATATGGTAGTTGATAATTAACTTACAAGAACTATGATGCATTATCAACCTTTCTATAATATTTAGATATTTCTTGGCATTAAACTTAAGTGCTTATTTTATAGTTTAATTGAGAAGTTTGTGTGTTTCTAAATAAATCTGCAATTTACCTTGTTCACCTTCTTTCTGATTCCTAAAATTATTTATCAAATAATACTTATCGGAACAGTTCACAAGATATTTCAGTGTAGTTAGAAGTAATGAGAAAACAATTAGATAAATATCTAAATGATTATAAAATCATCTAAAATATTTATGGATAATATGTATTTACACTACTTTTTTTAACTTTGAAATGTATTGCTATTTGCAGGTTCAGGTTCATGTCGCTTTAGTTATTCAGACCCCAACATCGTCGTATCATATGCCAAGAATAATACTGCAGACTGGATTCAACTTGAGACAATTAGGTTTGTTATCATTTGAAGTATTTTCATAAATTCTGACATAGGTGGATTTCTCCTTCCCTGTTTGCCTCCATTCTACCACGGACTTTATTCTTTGTGGTTAAAAGTACTCTGATTGTTCTGTTGAATTTTATGGATGCCATGATATACCCTACTTGAAGAAATATTGTTAAAATTGTCATTTTCCATTTGAAACTTCCACTGTCAATAGTAGCTCTAGAAAATTATTTATTTTTTGGTAAAAGCACATTTGGGATAATAACCTTTATGATGGAATCCTCCATCACAATTATAAAATTACAAAATTACATCATGCATCTCCCTACGTGGACTGACTATGGCCTGGTTTATAGGCCTAGGAATATGTCAGATTATACCTAAATTCCTACTAGTCTGTGATGATAGTGAGTTAATAGCCACTGGACCTTTGACATCTAATATCTAGTTCTGTCATTTTCCTTCTAACTTCCCTAAGGCCAGTTCTAAAATTTTATTATTATAATTATGATGCAACTTGTAATCATTTATTATATTTCTTTCACTTAAAAAAATAAAACCTCAATAAGAAAATGATGTAGGATACTTGAAGAAGAAGTTTATTCAAGTTGAAAAAATTTGGTTAAATTAGCAATAATCAAGTTATGTTTACTACTTCTGCATAGATTGAATCCTAAAAAACAATTCGGAATGGATGTTTTATATCAAGTGTTGTAAGATATTAAAAGGAAAAAAGATACCTTGAACCTTTATAAGGTAGTTACTCTGACTGGTTAGTTCTTAAATTAGTGTAATTCATATAGAATATTTTCTACAAGTTTTGCAGTTTTTCTTTTTCACATTATTTTCCATACTATATTTCCATGTTGAAAAATGATTTATTTAGGAGGAACAATAAATATTAAGTTCTGTTTAGTCTTTAACACTAAACCAGCCTATCCAAAGTTTTAAGTAGTATTTAAAATAGAAAAAATGTTTACAAATCTAAATCTAGCCTATCCAAAAACTGAGAAAAATGATTGCAATTCATGGATTTTAACAGACTGTCTTCCTCTGTATCAGGATAACATAATTTATAGATACATGGTATAAGCCAAGCTCCGACATGCTATACCAATTTTATAATAGAATATTTTGCTGTTTTTTTCTAGCAGTTACTATGAAAATGCATTCATATTATATACTTATTTGTATAAATGCCTTAAGCAAGGCAGCATAAATATTGGAAATTTTACCCATACCTCCAATTTTCTCTAATAGTTATATATTGTAATTTAGATAAATTGTAGTACCTGAAATTCTTGCTGCAAAAGAACTGCACACTTGATATGAAAAATAGTGAATGTACACATACATTTAGTTACAACATATAAACATCACATTCAGCTGATTTCATTTGGTTTTTAACTAAATGAGATTTTCAAGTTAGGTCCTGCAAACTATTATATGCAAATTTTCCTTACCATTTAGTGATCAGAATGAACATATTTTCAATCACTTCTGAAAACTAAAATATATTATTTTCTTCATTTTAAATTCTTTTTGAAGCCAAAAACATAGTCACTTTGAAATATTTTAAAAGAAGGAGGAATTGATTACCCCTAAAGGTAAGGTACACCATCTATAACCTATACTGACAATTCTACAGATATATATGTGCATCATTGGTGAGTGAAAAATGTCTTTTCTGCAGTCCTTTCAAAACAGATTTATAGTAAGCCAAAAGTACTACTAGTTTTCATTTAGTACCACTTTTAATCCTGGCTAAAGCAGTAATATTTACTATAACAGGTTTCTAGGTTGATAAAATAAAATGTTTAATAAAAATACTTTATTATATAGCAGAAGGGCCTAGATTCTAACACACTTAATATAAAAAATAATGTTAAGTTATATCAAGTTTTAAAACATTGATCTGTATGAAATTGTAAAGAATTATAGAGCACTTAATTCTCATGGCAAATCTCACATTTCATATAAACAAAACAAAAAGGTATCAGGTTAGCAGAAATAAAACAACTCATAAAAAAAGACTGATTATGAATCATAGCAAACAATTATCACTAATAGATCCAAAGTTTCAAAGTAAGAATCAAAATTAAGATTAATTATATAGTTTTCCTCCTTTTTTTCTTCTTAGTATGAAATAAAATAAACTGTGCTGGATACACTGTGATTTTCTGTAGGCACCGTGAAAGTGTGTGCTATTTTCTCTTCAACTATTCCTTTACTAGCTTAGTGCCTGCTTTGTGTTACAAGTAAACTTCTTGAAGACATTTAATATTTAAACTGTCATCATTTAATATGAACATCTTAATAACCAGCATATACTAAAAGATTTAAGGGCGATGGGATTGTATTTAATCTGTAATGTGTTTAGTATTTTTAAGTTAATGAAGCTATAATCTTAATTAAGAAATAAAATTGATCTAAAGTTCTTTAACTGTAGCTGTAATTCCCATCTCACCATATGTTCCAGAGCCCCTTCCAACATCAGCACAATCATCCACATCCTCTACCTTCCTGAAGACGCCAAAGGGGAGAACATCCAGTTTCAGTGGAAGCAGGAAAATCTTCGTGTAGGTGAAGTGTATGAAGCCTGCTGGGCCTTAGATAACATCCTGATCATCAACTCAGCTCACAGACAAGTCATTTTAGAAGATAGTCTTGATCCAGTAGACACAGGCAACTGGCTTTTCTTCCCAGGAGCTACAGTTAAGGTTTGATCTCTCTTTTTTTCCTCCTCCTCTCCTCTTATACCTAATAAAGCAATTTCTACAAAGATAACTAGGCTTACTAAACTTACTAATAAAGGAATAGGTAATGTTCTTTTTATGTTACCTTCTTTTTTAAGGCTATCAAATCATCATTACAAAAATATTTGTTCATCCATTGAATGAGTATTTTTGAGGAGCTACTGTGCCATGTACTGGACTGAACCTAGAGAATGTAACTGCGAAAAGGCAAATACATTTCTCCCCTTTATGTGAAAGTTCGTTTGGTCTTTTCCATAAGATGGCTCTAGTAGTGCTTAGTTGTCTTTAATGTCATTCAAAACAATTTTGTTAGATTGTATGGTAATAGCTGTCATATCAGCATACATTTAAAAAAACACAAAAATTGGTGAGTTTTTGTGCAGCCACTTTAATATTAAAGATGGAAGAAGATAATGACATTTTTAGCGTATTATGCTTTATTATTTCAAGAAAGGTAAAAACTCAACTGAAATGCAAGAAAAGGTTTGTGCAGTGTATGGAGAAGGTGCTGTGACTGATCAAACATGTCAAAGTGGTTTGCAAAGTTTCTTGGTACTATTGACATTTTGGCCCAATAATTATTTGCTGTGGGACTGTCTTATGCATTGAAAGATATTTAGCAGCACCCTTGGCCCCTACCCACTAGAAGCCAATAGCAAGAGACAGACAACATAATCAAAATATCCAAATCGATAAAGTTTTTGGTGAAAATGAAAAATATGTCTTTTTTATTTTACAGAAAAAACTAAATGGACGTTTTAGCCAACCCAATATATATCATCTCATATAATTTGATCCTTATAAACCTGTAAGGAAGGTGCTATATTAACCCCATTTTACAGATGTTGAAAGTGGACATAAAGATGTTAAGTAACTTGTCCAAAACACACCTCTCACCAGTGGCAGAGCCAGAATTCAAGTACAGGAAACTGACTTGGTCTTGATCTCAGCCACCACGTGACTTTGCTCTTATAAATAGTAAATATAAACTGATGTGCTTCTCTTTCTCCTATTTCTTCTCAACATCTATCCATTTGTTAAATTATCTGCTCATTTTCTTCCCCATCACTTTCTGGCTAGAAGTGAAAAGATTGTTGTTTTTCTCATATTTCTTGATCTGATTTTTATATATTAGAATTTAGTAAGTTCAGATCAAGATCTAGACCCTTCCTTCTCTTCCACAGCTGATTTTGTTTTTGCGATCCTAGTTACTGGTCCATCTCAAGTACTGACTTCTAACCCAAAGTGAACTTGAGATAGGACAATTAAAATATTTTCCTTATGGAGGCTGGAGGCATTTTCAGTATCCCACTTGGGAGGTGAACTAGAATGAGAATGGGGAAACCTAAAGAAAGAGAAATCAGCAGACTGCCTTTGACAAGGATGTTAAAAGCCAACACACAAAGGGATGTCACTGATGAAACTCCAGCATCATTTCCTTAATATAAATTACATTATGCTCCCTCCATACTCAAGACCTTTGATGGCTACCTGTATAGGCCTAGATGATACAAGCCAAACTCCCTGGCATGTAATTCAAGGCCGTTTCCAGTCTAGGCCCACTTAATACTACATCTTGATCTACCCCACTGTACTCCAGTGTCACAAATACAGCACAGAATTTCACATTCCTCACCCCTTTAGACATGCTCTTCCACCTTTCTGTTTTCTCTGCCTGGTAATTCCACATCATCCTTAAGGGCCCAGTTAAAATGCCTGTATATGTGAAGTTTTCTATAGTTAATGCCTTCCTCCTTTCTGTGCTGGTATAACCATGAGATTGAACAAGCAGGACTTGGGGGTGGGGCCTGGCTGTAGAAAAGACATCCAGTATTTTTCCCTAGTGACCATTCAAATTCATCTCTGCCTTCTTTGCATCAAAACTAAGGCCAGTCCTAAGAGAGCTGGTAGACCAACAATGTAATCCAATCACTTTAGTCTTCTAAATGGCCTGTGTTTAATAGCAGATATGACCAGTTCACTGTAGTAATCCTGCTTAGGTTTCCTGCAGTGGGAATGGAGACAGTGGTAATCTCCTCTTTTGTCTCTAACCCCCTTGAGTTTAAGCCTCTGGGCCTTCTAGGGTCTGAAGAAAGGAGAAGAGACATGATGCAGATATTGTTGTGAGCCAAAATTATCAAGCCCTCATCCTGGCAAGTGGTCAAAGCTGGCTCTCTGCTGAATCTACCAATAGGCTCTTTGGAAATCTCCCTACTCCACACAAAGCCTAGATGCAGTCCTCCCATGCATGCCTCATGTCTGCTTCTACTCTTAGCCACTGGGTCCTCTGGCTAATGATTGCAACCTCTTTCTGTTGAGGGCTCCTTATTCCCTCAAAAAGTGGTCGGGGGATAGGGTCTTAGACAAACTAGGTTGTCTCTTGTGTGCACAGGCCCAAGCCTAGTTTATGATAAACAGCTGTCTTGGGTCCATCATTGAGAGGAGAGTAATTACTTTTAAATGCAGCCTTCTTCCTAGCCAGCCACCTGCCAGAAAGCTCCAGGCACTAGTGCAAACCCATGCAGCATGACCTCCAGGTGGGATCTTTGAAGTCCTGTACACCAGACTTGAGAACGGGAAAAGGTATTCCCCACCCCTGTCACGGGCATGGATGGGACTCAGCTCACCAACATCCTCTCTAAAGAAATTGTCCCTCTCCTGTCCAGCTGCCTACTCCCGTCATCTGCAAGCTTGCACACCTTCATCTGAGTGATAACTGAGTCCTTTTACCACGTCTTTTGCTAGGTCCTTATATTTAATCCAACACCTCACTTTGGAATGTGGAGGAGCTGCCACCTATTTTGTAGGAGCCTCAACAAAAACCGAAGCAAAATCAGTTCAATTTCAATAGTCTGTTACACTAGACATACACCTATATGAGAGCATTTACAACATTGCTTTATTTTTTAATTTATGTTTCTCTCCTGCTGGTTAAAATGTTAGCTTCTTAAACTCAAGAACTATTCCAAACCATTTTTGAATCCTTAGTGTGTAGCACATGCTAAATTGTTAGGTATTGATTGACTTCGATGAAAAGCTGGAAAAAATAACAAAACAATCTAGTTCATGGGGGAAGAAAATGAATTTCACATTCAGTGATGACTTGAGGGCAGCTGAAAATATTGTGAATGGGACTGTATATAGCACAAGTGTTAAGAAAATAGGCTTAACTGTATGGGTGTACATCTTGGCTTCACCATTTACAAGTTTTAGCCACAGAGCCTTGGGCAAGTTATTTAAACTCTCAGTTCCTCAGTGTCCTCACCTGTAACAGGACTAATAACAGTATACAACTAATGTCATGATAACTAAATTAAAAACTATGTGTAAAACCCTTAGGATAGTATCCACCATATAGAAAGGACTTAATAAATAATGTGCTTTTCATTAAAAACTTTAAGAACAAATAAGTTTTACAAGGAAGTGAATAGGGAGGAAAATGAGTAGCAGAAAAAGGATTAAGCCAACAGTTCCAATTATGGGGAAGGAGAAAGGAATAGGGTAGAAAAAATATAGGTTTCACAAATTATGTCACCCTTATATGCCATTAAAGTAATATCAAAATGAAATGCACTAAATTGATTACATTGGACACAGTATTGCCCATATTTGTAATCTTTGGCAATAAAAATAAATAATTTCCACTGGAATCATTTCAATGCGATGCTTATAATTTGAATTATTAACATTAATAGATTTTGATATTAGCAACAAATGATTTTCAAGTTCTACTTTTTATAAAACAAGAGAATAGAGAGTAATGAGTATGTAAACTGTCCAGCTGATGAGTTTGAAAATAATATTTAGAGCGTCAAGTAAAATAAGAAATATACAAATGAGTCACTGACCTTTGGAGTCCATATTTCTCCTTTTTTTTCTAGATTTCTCTTTCAGTTTTCTTGGGAATATCTAATTCATTTCATCTAAGCCTGTCCTTGTTTGTATCAAGTAGGGAGAATGATACAAGACCAAATAGAGTAATTAACTTACAGAGTTTATGTGATCTGGGGAATTGCAATTATAGGTCACCAGTTTAAAGCTGCCCTGGATCAGTGGAAGGCCATTACCATCTGTTGGCTCTTTAGTAATTAATATGAAATAGATGTATAAGAGCAACAGTTTCTAACACTGAACCTGGCCTTATATTTGTTGTGCTTTTTGATTTTGGGGGAACTGTAAAGGAAGAATTAGTATGTTCTTCCCATAGAGCCATCTGCGTTTCTCCTCATTCTCCTCACAAGTTTGTGGCTTTGCCTGACTCATCTTCCAGTGTTTTTTCACAGAACTTGCCCACGTGGAAGAAAAGGCACACCACATTCTTGTGCTTCTAATTACCATCATGATTTTTTATTTCCCACAAATCCCTAAGCAGCCCTTTGTTCATGACCAAGTAGGTGGGGCTCTAAATGCCAATAAACATAGTGCTGCAAGTCATAAAACTCCCCAGAGCACCACCCTCATTAGCAACCTCCAGAGTAAGCAGAGCATGGACTCAGCAAAGCAAGGAGCCTGAAACCCTCTCCATATTGATTCACCTCTCTTAATTATTGGTTGTGATGATTTTGCCTTCTTTTACAGAATATTTCTTCTTTTTTTACTTTTGCATATGATTTCTGCCCATTCATTTGCAGTTGTGAGAATAGCTCTTGCCACGTTGGCTGCCATCCCTGGCCGTGCCTCTCTCTGTCAGGTGGCTGAGGATATTTGTATCACATTTTAGAATAGAGGCATTATATAACTCACTCAGTGACCATCCTATAAATCTCATATCCAAATGACACCATGCATCGTTATTGCAATATTATTGACTATATTCCCTATGCTGTACTTTACATCCCCATGACTGTTCTGTAACTACCATTTACACTTCTTAATCCCTTCACCTTTTCACCCATGCCTCTAACTCCCCTCTAATCTGGCAACTGTCAGAATGTTCTATCCATCAGTCTCTTTCAGTTCTGCTT